TCAGTTTATGTCCATGTTGATATAAATTCAATAATTATTTCTCCAGTGTCAGTTCACATGAATACTCCTTAGCAATGACACAAAAAAATCCTTCTCTCTCTGTGCAACAGTCTTTTCTCTTGGCTTGTAGGACACTATTCTTCCCTAGTGTTCTCCTGCTTTGCTCTCAGCTTTCTAACTTAAATATTGGCTTAATCTCAGGCTCAGTTCTTCAACTCTCTTCTCTTTTTCATTTACACACTCATTTCCCAGTTAATCTCATCTACTCTCCTGCCTCTATCATCATTCTGTCAATAACTGCAAAATTCATATTTTGAGCCTGCCGTCTCTTAAATTCAACTCTGAATATTCAAGGATCTACTTGAACATCTCCTAGACATCTGATCCTTAAAATATCTCAAATCAGGCTCCTGGTATTCCACCCCAAACCAGGTCCTCCTGTAGAATTCCCCAATTCTCAAGTAGTGGAAACTCCATTTTTCTACATACTAAAGCCAAAATCCTCACTTCCTAACCCTCTCACGCCTCCACAATCAACTTGTCAGATTTATCTTTAAAATCTACTCAGAATACAAGCACTTCTTACCACCTCAGTCCAAGGCACCATCATCTCTTGCCTGCAGTAGGTCATCAGCCTCTACTTAGTCTTCCTGTCCCTGGCAATCTACTCCCAACACAGCAGCCAAAGGGATTCATGAAAACTTAAGTCAGATCTTCTCCTCCTCCATTAAAAACCCAAATAGCTCTCCAAATTAAAAGCCAGTCTTCACATGTTCAACACCATACATTATCTCCTTTGTGCAACATCTTACCTCCTGTCACTTTCCTCATCATGCCTACTGTCCCATCCACCATGGTCTCATTATTCCTCATGGAATACACTCCTGACCATATTCTGTTCTCCTCCAAGATATCTATATATCTAGCTCTCTCACTTCCTTCAGGTCTTTAATCAAAAGTAATCTGGTCAACTTCTCTACATTTTCAATCCAAACACTACCATTTTATTCTCCCTTCCCTGAGGCATTTTTTTCTCTAACACTTCATCGTCTAAAATATTGTATATTTTACTTTTTTGTTTATTGTCTGACTTCCATACTAGAATGCAAGCTCCATCAAGGCATAAATTGGTATATAGCAGAAGCACATATCAAGTGCCTAGAACACTGTTTGGACATGTGGTAGGCCCTGCAAGAATCTGTTAAATGGATGACTTCTTGAATAAGTTATGCTACTGTACCCCCCACTGGATGTTATTACATAGCCATTAGTTTTTTAATGAAAAGTTTGTAATACCACAGAAAAATGGGCATTGAAATCCTTCTTACATCATAATGCACTAAGTCTCTTTTGGAAAGTGGCACAGCGTATACACTGAGGAATATATATGGGTCTAAGAAAAACATAAGTCAGAATTCAAATCCTTGACTTTCACCATTTCCTAGCAATTTGACCACTAGCATACTTTTGAGCTTTCTGAAGCTCAAAAAGATGAGTATAAGAACCCTCTCATAGGGGCGCCTGGGTGGCTTAGTCGGTTAAGCGTCCGACTTTCGCTTAGGTCATGATCTTGCGGTTCGTAGGTTCGAGCCCCATGTGGGGCTCTGTGCTGACTGCCAGCTCAGAGCCTGGAGCCTATTTCGGAGTCTGTATCTCCCTCTCTCTCTGACCCTCCCCTGCTCACGCTGTCTCTCTCTCTCCTAGAAACAAATAAAAAAATTAAAAAAAAAAAAAAAAAAGAACTCTCTCATAGGTTTATCAGAAGAGTAAGAGTAGATGATGCATGTAAAGGACGCTTCAAACATTAAGTGTTAAATGTGTCAATACTAACACTTCATACTGTTAAATATATTCCTGGATAATTCAGACATTTATTTTTTATGCCAAGCAGTGAATACACAGTGTTTTTATATTAGTCTCTGTTTTTCAGCATATCTGGAATACTTTATAATTAAAAAAAAAAGAAATCTAACTTCTGGCTAAAAACCAGTCAGAATCTCTTAACTCCTCCCATTTGTAGGGCTTAAAACTCTATGTTCTCAAACCAGAAAATTTAAATATGAATATTAAATTAGTTCATATGTCAGTCTTAAATAGAGTGGGGGAATAAAGGTTTTTCTTTTTTAAAGATTTGTGAGGTATCCTAATATAAGCTAGAATGTTAATGTTTCTTACCTCCTCCCCCTCAGGTGGAACATCAATAGATTGGAAGAAGATACTGATAAAGCTGTTTCTATTAACAAAAAATTTCACACAGTAAAATTTAAGATTCTCCGTATGAAACAATTATTATCAAAATCTTTCTATAACACTTTGAGAAGGGGGTAGAAAATACTGAAAAGTTACCTTTTCATCAGAGAGCTTCTAGATACAACTCTTAGTATAAAAGGCCAACAACCCAAAGGTCTTAGAAGTTACCAAAAAAAAAAAAAAAAAAAAGGAAACCTTAACATCGGTGGCTGATATTTTTACTTCCATATCAAAACATCAAATAATTTGATGATCATTTACTATTTGCTTGTGTAAAAAACAGTATAAGATTCTCTCTGAAGGCTTCTGAGGAGGACCAAGGCAAGAAAGCACTAGTTTAAGAGAACTCATTCATTTATACAGGGACCTTGGGAGGAAAGGAAGAGGTAATGATTAAGTAAGTGGCATTTCCCACTGGAGATAAAGGCTCAAAACCATGGCTAACTAACTGTAAATGAGCTGGTCATCTGATTATGACTGAGATGAGTTGCCAGGTTCAAATAAAAAAATCAGACATACTCAAGCTTATATAAAGTAAAAAAAAAAAAAAAAAGTATAGTCCCACAAAAATTATTGTGACCTTGTCCTTTGGGGGGCAGAAGGAGTGAAGAAAGAGATGAAAACGGTACAAGAGAAAGAAAAAACTATGTAGATACAAAATTTTATAAAAAGAACAAACTACTTTTTAGATCAGCAGACTTTATTTACCCAAAGTGTTGACTAACTTTTTAAACTTTTATTTCTCCCCCTGAGATTCTTCTCTATACTTTGTGCCATCTGTTTTTCCCTAAGACACACAGAGCTGGCATTCAAAAGTATTCTGTGAGGTATATGAACTGTAACTGTCTCCCAAAACTGAAGTTTGAAAAAAAAAAAAAAAAAAGCAAATACAAGATAAATTGTGCTAAAGATCTTTCTGAAAAGGCCTCTTGGTATTACTCCTATTCATGTGATTTAACTTTACAGAAAGCTTCTTTAAGAGCAAAGATGTGGGGCGCCTGGGTGGCTTAGTCGGTTAAGTGTCAGACTTTCGCTTAGGTCATGATCTCGCGGTTCGTGGGTTCGAGCCCCACATCGGGCTCTGTGCTGACTGCCAGCTCAGAGCCTGGAGCCTATTTCAGAGTCTGTGTCTCCCTCTCTCTCTGACCCTCTCCTGCTCTCTCTCTCTCTCTCTCTCTCTCTCCTAGAAATAAATAAAAATTAAAAAAAAAAAATGAGCAAAGATGGTTCACAGAACTGTGATTTTTTTTTTTCAATCACATAGCATGGTGAAATGAACAGGATGGCTCCCCATCCCCAGATTCTTGATTTGCAGTTCCAAATATTCGTGGTGTGCGATAACCCATACTCTCTCCCCACTCGTCAGGATGACGTACATTTCCACTTTCAGTAGGTTGAAGTGGAGGTTATGATTTAATATTACTCTTACTCATGGTACCTAAAAGAAAAGCAAATGGTAGAGCAGCAGTTGGGTGACAGAATTTTTTAAAAAGAGAGAAAAACATCCACATGGGTCTTTTCCTTCTTTCTCTTAAAAATGTAGAAGTATCTATTTCCAATTGATAGGAAATACTAACAGAAATGAAAATAAAACATCTAGAAAAGGGAGATAGATGAGAAAAACGTCACAAAGCAAAACAGGAGCAGCTGTCTTCAAGGAAGCTTTTGAGGAGGACCATAGCAAGAAAGAAGACCAATTTAAAAGAACTCATTCTCTTAATTGTAGAAAGGGCCTGTGGAATGTGAGTAATGAGAGGTGGTATTTTATAGCAAAGGTGACTAATTAAGTATAAGGTGATTAATCATCTAATGCCTTGCCAGATCTAAATCAAAACTCAGACACATTCAAAGAGATTTAAGAAAAGAAAAGAAAAGAAAAGAAAAGAAAAGAAAAGAAAAGAAAAGAAAAGAAAAGAAAAGAAAGGAGTCACTCAAAACTTGTTTTGTCTGTGTATGGGGGGGTGGGGGGGTGGGTGTGAATGTGTGTGTGTCTGTGTGTGTGTGTCTGGAAGGGGGAGAATATAGACAGATATTCTATAGAAACTGGATCAGTAAATCACTAAGCTCCTTCACTAATTCATGCTTCTTACTATTCCCCCATCCTAAAATATCAGCATAAAGCCAATACAATTATCCTTAACTCCCTGCTCAAACAACGCCAAAGATCCACAACTTAAAGAATTTCTGGCCTAAAGGGGGTACAAATAAGAATTTTAAGGTATATACAGCATTATATATCCCTTAAGTTGGCAATCTACCAGTTTCTGTGGAGACTTCAAAAGTATAACCTCAGCTTAGAGATGAGAAAATTAAATTAGCCCACGTTTCCTGCAGCTCTAAAGCATCCATAATTAGTTCTGGTGCAATGAGTTGCTCTACTTGGTCTACTTTACACTACACTGCTATTAGTCTATGCATGTTATAGATTAACTTCTCTGCAATTTTTAAAAATATGCTTACACGGAGTGATAATTATCTTCCCCAAGGAATTATTTTCTCCTAATGGCCCATCAACAAATCTAGAAATAGAGCTGCTCTCACACTAGAATGAAAACTATTTGTTACATTATTCTGGTTTTTGAAAGGTCCATTTTTAACTATAATCTACTGGAATGGTAAACCAATTTATCAGTAAGTAAATACAAACATCACTGCTAAATTTGCTAGAGAAAATAAGTAAATCAACATAACCAAACAACTGACTTCAATAAATTTATGTTTTGTACTTTTAAAAGTCCTGAGATGCTTACTTTAATTTCAACTTGCTCTTCCATTTCTTTAGTTTTTATTGTAGTATATTCCTTTTCAAGCCTATGAAGGAAAAAATAAATAAATAAAGGTATGTTTTCACTATGTAGTTGCTAAATTAAAAAAATATAAAACTACATACTAACACAAAATATAATTTCACCAGGTTCCTCCAACTTGTAACTTGAGATACTTCATTTTAGAAAACTCATCTGAACAGTTAAATGGATTCTTCCAAAAATTACTTGACAAATAACAATGAGAACCACACAAAAATGACTTTAGAAAGTGAAATATACAAGGCACCAAAGAAGTGAGTTTACCAATTCTATTCAACCCTAAACTTATTAAAAGAACTGTCAGTCTTTCTCAAATTAAAATACAGTGGTACAGTTCAATTGGAATTTAACCAAGTACAAAAAGTGACTGTAAAAAACTTATCATAAGGGAAAATGAACAACTCTTAACAAAAGGATTCCTAAACACAGAACAAGGCAAATATAAAAAATCACCATTAGAATTTCACAATAACCCTCACAGGCAAGAAAAATCAATGGACGTTAAAATTAGTTTAAGCATAGTCTTAAAGTGTCTCTCCCAAAATATTTAGAAATTACAAGGGGAAAACCAGTAAATTTGTAGTACAGTATCCTCAGACAACACCTGAGCTGATTAAGGTTAACACCACCAATAATACATATTGACATCTTGCACCCTCTGTTAAGATGTACCAAAAACACCTCTATGTATGTACCTCACCTCTATGATATCCTTCCTTAAGGTATACCTTAATCTAATCAAGAGAAATCACCAAACAAACCAAACCAGCAAACCACTGAACACCTCACTTCAGAAGTATCAAGGTCATGAGGGGCACCTGGGTGGCTCAGTTGGTTAAGTGTCTGACTTCAGCTCGGGTCATGATTTCACAGTTGGTGAGTTTGAACCCCACATCAGACTCTGTGCTGAAGGCTCAGAGCCAGGAGCTAGCTTTGGATTCTGTGTCCCCCTCTCTGCCCCTCTCCTGCTTGTACTCTTGTTTCTCTCTCAAAAATAAATAAAACGGGGGCACCTGGGTGGCTCAGTCAGTTAAGCGTCCGACTTCAGCTCAGGTAATGACCTCAGTTTGTGGGTTCGAGCCCCATGCAGAGCTCTGTGCTAACAACTCAAAGCCTGGAGCCTGCTTCGTACTGTGTCTCCCTTTCTCTCTGCTCCTCCCCTGCTCACGCTCTGTCTCTCTCTCTCAAAAATAAACAAACATTTTAAAAACAAATAATAAGTAAGTAAATAAATAAATGAAATGTAAAAAAATTTTTAAAGTAGCATCAAGGTCATGAAAGATAAAAACTGAAGAAGTGTCACTAATTGTAGGACAGTAAGAAATAACAAACACTAGAAGAAACAATCCTAAAATTTGTATGGAATCACAAAAGACCCTGAATAGCCAAAGCTATCTTGAAAAAGAAAACCAAAGCTGGAGGCATCACAATCCTGGACTTCATGCTGTATTACAAAGCTGTAATCATCAATACACTATGGTACTGGCACAATAACAAACACTCAGATCAATGAACAGAATAGAGAACCCAGAAATGGACCTACAAACGTATGGGCAACTAATCTTTACAAAGCAGGAAAGAATATTCAATGGAATAAAGACAGTCTCTTCAGCAAATGGTGCTGAGAAAACTGGACAGCAATATGCAGAAAAATGAACTTGGACCATTTTTTAAAAAAAATTTTTTAATGTTTTATTTCTGAGAGAGAGAGAGACAGACAGACAGTGTGAGCAGGGGAAGGTCAGATAGAGAGGGAGATAGAGAATCTGAAACAGGCTCCAGGCTCTGAGCTGGCAGCCAGCACAGAGCCTGACGTGGGGCTCGAACCCACGAACCATGAGATCATGACCTGAGCCGAAGTCGAACGCTTAACCAACTGAGCCACCCAGGCGCCCCAACCTGGACCACTTTCTATACCATACACAAAAATAAAAAAGTGGAGGAAAGACTTAAATGTAAGACAGGACACCATCAAAATCCTCAAGGAGATAGCAGGCAAAAACCTCTTTGACCTCGGCCGCAGCAACTTCTTACCCAACACATCTCTGGAGGCAAAGGAAACCAGGCAAAAATGAACTATTGGGACCTCATCAAAATAAAAAGCTTCTGCACAGTGAAGGAAACAATCAGGAAAACTAACAGGCAACCAAAGGAATGGGAGAAGATATTTGCAAATGACCTATCAGATAAAGAGTTAGTATCCAAAATCTATAGAGAACTTATCAAACTCCACACCCAAAAAACAAATAATCCAGTGAAGAAACGGGCAAAAGACATGAATAGGCACTTCTCCAAAGAAGACATTGAGATGGCCAACCGACACATGAAAAAATACTCAACATCATTCATCATCAGGGAAACAGAACTCAAAACCACAATGAGATACCACCTCGCACCTGTCAGAATGGCTAACATTAACAACTCAGGCAACAACAGATGTTGGCAAGGATGTGGAGAAAGAGGATCTCTTTCGCACTCCTGGTGGGGATGCAAATTGATGCAGGCACTCTGGCAAACAGTATGGAAGTATCTCAAAAAAGTAAAAATAGAACTACCCTACAACCCAGCAATTGCACTACTAGGTATTTATCCAAGGGACAAGGGCATGCTGTTTTGAAGGGGCACATGCACCCCAATGGTTATAGTAGTACTATGGACAAGAGCCAAAGTGTGGAAAAAGCCCAGATGTCCACTGACAGATAAATGGAAATAGAAGATGTAGCATATATATACAATGGAGTATTTACTTGGCAATCAAAAAGAATGAAATCTTGCCATTTGCAACTACGTGGCTAGAACTAAAGGGTATTATGCTAAGCGAAATTAGTCAGTTAGAGAAAGACAAGTATCATATGACTTCACTCATATGAGGACTTTAAGATACAAAACAGATGAACATAAGGGAAAGGAAGCAAAAATAACATAAAAACAGGGAGGGGGACAAAACGTAAGAGACGTTTAAATACAGAAAACAAGCAGAGGGTTGCTGGAGGGGTTATGGGATGGGCTAAATAGGTCAGGGGCATTAAGGAATCTACTCCTGAAATCATTGTTGCACCATATGCTAACTAACTCGGATATAAATTAAAAAATAAATTGTTAATTAAAAAAAAATAAATGCAATGTACTGTTTTTGCAGCTCTTTTCTAAGTGTAAAATTATATTTACAAAAATGTACAGGCCATACAAAAATTACTCCACGTTATTCTTAGGTCTTACTCTGGAACAAAAATGTTAATAACAAGTTTAACTACTAGGGTGCTGGGTGGCTCAGATGGTTGAGCATCCGACTCTTAATTTCAGCCTAGGTCATGATCTTATGGCATGTTTGTGACCTACATCAGGCTCTGCACGGACAGTATGGAGCCTGCTTGGGATTTTCTCTCTCTCAAAATTAAAAAAAAAAAAAACTTAAAAAAAATTTTAGTAAAAAACAAACAAGTTTAACTACTCCTAACACTAAGAAAAGACCAGGCCCTCAAAAACTTCTATCTGCTGTCAAAAATAAAATTCTCCCTCAAAGAACAAAAATCTATTATTTACTATAAAGTCTCATTTAACTCACAATAACTTTTTTTTTTTTACTGTGTAAAACACACAGAACAAAATTTATCATCTTCACTATTTTTAGATATACAGTTCAGCGGTATTAAACACATTTATAATATTGTACAACCACCACCACTATCATGTCCATAATTCTTTTCTTTTCACCTTATGCAACTAAAACTCTAGCCCCTTGAAACAACAGAACCCCATTCCTCCCTCTGATCAGGTTCTGACAACAACCATTTACATTCTGTCTTTATAATTTTAATAACTTGAGGTATATCATATAAATGGAATCATACAATATTTGTCCTATTGTGACTGGCTTATTTCACCTAGCATAATGTTCCCAAGGTACATCTATATTACACTATGTTGAGCAACTTTTTATGTGCTTATTGATCATTTTTATTTCTTCTTTGGAGAAATGCCTACTCCAGATCTTTGCCAATTTCTGAACCCAGTTTGTTTTTCCTTATGAGATTTAGGGGTTCCGTATACATTGTGGATATTAGTCCCTCATCAGATACATGATTTCTCATTCTCTAAGTTGCCTTGTTAGTCTTTTGAGAGTGTCCTGGGATGTGCAAAATTTTTAAATTTTCACAAAGTTCAATTTGTCTATTTTTTGTTACCTGAGCCTTTCCTGTCAAATCCAAGTAGTCATTGCCAGAATCTAACTCTGTCCAAAGTTTTCATCCAACAGTTTTACAGTTTAAGTTTTTACATTTAAATATTTGATCCATTTTGACTTAAGGTTTTTTTTAATGTTTATTTATCTTTGAGAAACGGGGAGCGACAATGTGCAAGCAGGGGAGGGGCAGAGAGAGAGGGAGGCATGAATCCAAAGCAGGCTCCACACTTAATCAACTGAACCACCCAGGCATCCCAATCCGTTTTGACTTGTATTTTGCATATGTTGTTAAATAAGGGTCCAACTTTATTCTTTTGCATGTGGATATCCAGTTTTCCCAGCATCATTTGTTGAAGAGACAGTTCTTTCCCTACTGAGTGGTTTCAGCACCTTTGTCAAAAATCATTTGACCATATATATGAGGGATTGTTTCTTGGAGCTTTATTCTATTCCTTTGGTCTATACATCTGTCTTTATTCCAGTACCCTGTCTTGATTATAACTTGGTAGTAAGCTTGGAAATCCGGAAGCATGAGCCCTCACGCTTTGTCGTCCTTTATAGGATGGTTTTAGCTTTTTGGGGTCTTTCAGTTTATTTATGAATTTTAGAATGGAGTTTTCCATTTTTGCAAAAAATATCACGGATTTTGAGAGGGATTGCACTGACTCTAGGTCAATACTGATGTGTTAACAATATTAAGTCTTCTAATCAATGAACATAAAATATGATTCCATTTATTTATGTCCTAACGGCTTTCAGAAATGTTACTAGTTTTCACTGTACACGTCTTTCACTTCCTTGTTTAATTCTCCAATATTTTA